GGATGTCATACATTTAAAAAAGAGAAAGAGAGAGGACAATACGTTCCTCCACTCTCACTTTCTTTACATACAGGAAAAGACAGTCCATAAAAATAGACCTAGAACATGTGCAGAAGCACTGACAAGTTTTAAGGGGGTGAAAACGAGAGAAAATCATCGTATAGTTCAAAGGTTTAAAGTCAGAATATGTTTGTTTTTGTTTTTTTAAATCCCTTTTTTACATGTCACTGCTTTAATAAGAATTCGGCTGTGGCATTACCCAGCAGGACAATACTGATCCATGACCTGAGGGATTTGTCTCATATTCCCAACTGACTCCTGAATCTGCAGCCAAGCTCGGCCATTAAACACTGTTTGAGCCCTCTGTTCATAAGTCTACTCACGTTGGGCCCAACAGCAGATTGGCCTGCCTGCTCTATTGGCTCATGGCACATTGGGTATGGCTGGGGCATCATCGGCTTCCTGAAAACATTAAGGTCTTTTCTACTGCTGAGACGGCCCGCTATAGGCCCCTTTGTGCCATGAAGAAAGAGAATGTGGATGGATTTCAAAGGGGAGAGGAGGAGGACAGAAAGTGAGTGGCGCATTGACAGAAGAAGAAACCAACTGGTGCTCACCTAAGACAGACATCTAGTCTGAGCCAGAAAGCTTTTCTGGGGGACTTTGGGATTTATATGTGTCAGGTATGTTGGGTTTTATTCACAGACAGAAACAGAACACACATCTTTAACCTCATAATGACCTAAAACTAATAGTTTTTTGTGACAGAGAATAGATGTGATCTAGGGTGCGTTTGGATAAAAATCACCTCCTGTACACATGCAGCCTCTGAATAAGATCTTGTTCTTGCTGTGACCTAAAATCCTGTTTCATTGCTGCACAGCTTTGGCAGCAACCTAATCTCTTCTCAACTATTGAAACTCCATTCAACAAAGACACAGCACTCCAGAAGTGATGGCTTGTGATTTAAGTGATGAATCATGACCAGTTTCAAAATAAATCTACAAAACCACTCCGTGTGCCCAAGGACAGCTGATACACTCTTTGTTTTAAAGTTAACATTTATATTTATGGTTTTAAACTTGTGCATTTAAATCTAGGAAGTTGCGCGATTTGTTTTTCTTTTAACGCTGATGAATCTGAATTACCTGGACGAGTTGCCGGGATACTTGGCAGAGTACGATGTATCTTACTTGTTATTGCCCTGTCCTGCCAAAATCCAGGCATCCTGGCTCAGAGATAATAGATATTCTCTCCACTTCATCCATCACCAATGTGGCTGAAAAAATAAACATTTAACCAGATTTTACACCAAGAGCAAACAGAGCATAATAAAATTCCCTATTTTTCTTTTGGTATCAGCCCATTAACTTCATGCCGAGCTCAATATGAGATTCTATGTGCTCTAATTTTCTGAACACGGATAATCAAAATGCTTATTATCGCAGGTACCAGGACCATTTCTCAGCACAGACTAAGCACTCTGAAACATCTCCATCCTTTTTATGTAAAATTCATTTCCTATTTCTATGCAATCATGCAGATCTAAAAGCCTTTTTATTGCTATTTCATAATTAGCTGCTGGAACCAATGCTGAAAGTGTTGCTCAAAAATAATTCTGCAATTTTAAATCACAGCAAATAAAGACATTATTGATAATTTGCATGAGTGAACTGGCAGCGTGAGGCTGGTTGGGGATTTGGAAGGGGGACTTTGCGTACAATGCTGCATGCCGTCAGAACGCTGCTCTCTGTTGCTCAAATTTGGCCCTTGTTTCACCCCATTTAGGATATGAGCAATGTTAATGAGATGAAAATGTAACTGGGGCTCAGTAATGTAGCAGCTGGAGCCCATAAGTGTCTCGGACTGATATCTCACTTTGGCTCAACATCTTTCATCTACTGCAATGTTCACTTTTAAACATGTTAATCTACCGGAGGTTGTCTTCTGAGTTACAGCAGTAATTAACTATTTGAGCTGGTGCACATGGGCGACTGGGGAACCTGAATACGGTCCTGGTGTGAAAACTATATTTTTAATGGCTCAAATTACCAGATAACCTTAGAGAATAATGGTGTGAAAAATGGCCAACACACAGCATAAGAAACTGGAATGACAAAAGCACTTAACCCCCACAGCTCCAGCAGAGAGCAGGATGTGGAGCTGGTGCAGGTGAATATCAATAAAGCTGTGACTCACAGGCGCTTGCCTCTCCAGGCAGTTCCCCAAAATAAAAACCTGCCTGACTTGCCTAGTTACAATTACAATTGAGACACTCTGCACATGCCTTTTACGTTTTTACACTGTTACAGCAGATTTGATCTGTACAGCTTCTACTGCCACAGTGAGGAAGGATTCACAGCATAGAATGAACAATCAGTCATGAAATATGAATGTAACAGTAAGTCAATCAATACAGTCAACCCCTGAACTGCAAATAATTTATTGTCTGTGGTAGAACTGTTAACAACATAAGTTCTGCTAAACAAATTTGTAGCCCATTGCGTTGTTTGAATTTTCTCTCATCTTTGCTTTTGTATGAAAAATTTGATCATCTTACTACTTTGCTTCTCACATAGTTGTTTAACAGTAACCATCAAAAATTAAATGAAGCGTCAAATTGAAAACTCAAATGAAGTGCCCCAAAATTGTACTTGAGCAAATATAATATTTACTCCTACAAAATATGAACAAGTATTTATATGGCACTGGTAGCATCAAACACAAAAATCAAATTCAATAATTTTGTAATGTTCTGTTAATATAATGTATAGGCTGGTGACTTCCTTTTTATATACACCAAAGACATTTTTAAAACTAGATATACAAGAGAGGATGGAGAAAAAGAAGCCCTTTGGTTTTGCGCATATTCAGAGATGTACTAAGACCAGCACAGCAAGCCTCAGGAGGCCTGGCTCTTTGATACTTTCTTGAAGGCTGAGTAAACAAAGATTTATTGAAGGAACATAATTCACAGCTGACACATTTTACACACATACACACATAATGACTTGGCAAACGTCGTGCTCTCCTCGGATGTAGCAAAAAAGAATAAAGTTGGGCGACGGGCACCTGGCAGAAGGATTATTCTGATTCTCTCTCCGTCTCCATTTCCTCCAAAGATTTCTTTGCCACCTGGCGCTGATCCAAATGGCTCAGTGATGCTGCTGAGGTGTCCGTGGCTCTGCCCAAGGGAAAATATCTATTATCCCCCCTCCTTGTTTTTCTTGTCTTGCAGAGGAATAACCGCTCAACGATTCAGGGCTTTCACCTCTACTCTGATAAAGGTTATCTTGGCAATTTAGCGCTGGCGATATCACATTATGGAGAGAGTTATGAGGCGGAAATCAAATTTTGCTTCCAGTGACTCTGAGGAAAGGGAGGATGAAAGGTGTATGGCACTGCACAGTCATGATATGGTAGAAACTGTATGTATGCAAGGTTGTGTGAGAGTGTGTGTGCATGAGCATCTGTTTGCATGTCTCCTGTCCTACACAGTTTCCCAAGAACATTAAACCTTTTTTTCCACTATACGGCAAAGTGTTTTATACAAAAATGCTTCATCTCACTGTAGGTTTATATTATATATTATAGTTCTTCCAAAGGGCGGTTTCAGCTGATCTGCTTGATGGACTCTGCATCAAAAATCACTTTGTCAAATCTGAACATACAGACATGACAAGCATATTTTAGCGTCAGTATGACTTACACTTTCTGAGGATATCATATGTCCATGATGAATAATCATCCATAAATCTGCCTAAAACTTACAAATGAAGGATGTTCTGTATCCATCTCCAAAGCCTGCCTAAGAATCACAACATTTTAAAGTTTTTTTCAGTATTAAAGGAACTCAGTAGTATTTTAATGTACATCTATGGACACATTACAAGATGACATTGCAAGTATCTAATTCGGAAAACTTTTAATTTTGCCACTTTGCCAAAATGAAAACAAACATAAGCTAAAAAAAACACACCATTATATTTGAATACCAACACCCACGCTGTGCAGATAGCATTCACAAAGTAAAGCTGATAACTCAGTGTTTGGAGTGACACCTCCTTCCCTTGTAAGAAAAAACAGGAAATTAGCGAAACACATTACTATCAGGGCAATCGGGAGAACCTACAAACCACACCATCACATCACACCTCCTGTATTTGTCAGATGCATTATCACATTATTATATTCACAGTTTACCCTACTCCCTGGAGAGCAAAGAAAATAAGCCATTCCAGAGCTCCTACTGCCAAAAGGGTTGCCATGACAATGAGGTTTTTCCCTTTAGTTTCTGTATATTCAACTCTACTCCTTTACGTACAATGATTAAAACAGTACAATTGTAACATTTTTTGCCTAAGGACACGTGCTGCTACATGTAGTTCATGGAACAGTTTCCCAGTTTTAAAACAGAACGAGAGAGAAGGCAGTTGCTGGAAGCTTGGCTTTCCACACTATATTAGTTTTGTGACTGGAGATAGAAATACATTTTTAGCAAAGCTGGGGGACATTTTTATTTCA